TGGGGAGCTAAGAAAATGTTTATCTCCCTGAGTCTGGCCTTCATAATTCCATTCCATCACAGCCTTACTGGTTTTCACCCAACTGGATATTAAGGTTAGGTCAAGAGCTGTAAGGTCAGAACATCCCAACCAATGAATGACATCTATCCATTACAGGACTCTATTCAAGGGGATGTGTGTAAGCCATTCAGAAGGGAATTCTACACCTCTGAGGCCCCTGCCAAGAAAAATCTGGGGCATCATTTTTGCCACCCTAACCAACTTCATTTTCAGGAGGCCCATGAGCAGAACTACCAAAGCAGATTGGAGTGTGAGGGTAGAGGAGCAAAGATCTGCCTTAAAGCTCTTGGATCCTCTTGTGGATCACAAGAAGGTAGAGGATAAGGATACCATTATAGTGTTGTAGTGAACATTTGTAAATAGTATATCTAGGGTATATACACTCGTGTTCTAAAAGCCTAGAGGCTGTCTCCTTACTGTTTATATTCAGTGGTGAAATGACACATCACTTTGAAGCCATGCCAACCATCAATGCAACTAACCATGACTTGATTCAGGGTTGTCTTCCTCTGTTCTACGAAGAACAGCTGCTGCATTTTCAGACAGAGCTGATTTTCCTTGTCCCTCCTCTTCAAAGGAATTCTAAATACCAATTCATCATTGAACAAAAATGTTGGAGCAACGTTGCTTGTAGGAAGATGCTTACTATTGACCTCGTAAACTAGAGAGACTCTATAATGACATTATCACAGCCCATTGGCAGCAGAAGCATAAGAAATCAACAAAGATGGAACAATTTATTAAAGTGGAATCTTTATTGGAGGGAAAAAAAGCCTAAAAGCACAGGATATAGGCTATTAAGTATTCAGAAAAAAGAAAGAGAAATTGGTTTGAACAAAGCCACCTGTTTTTCAAGAGCTTCTGCTTTGAAGTATGACAGATGAAAAATGAAAGGAAGATCACTTCTATTCCCTGTATGCTATGTTCTAGCTTTTTGCAGCTGGGGATGATGGCAGATCTTAATTCAACACAAAGGTGGGGAAAATAACGATATTATTTTGTTTCGCACAAGAGGCCCAGATGGTCTTGA